GCTAGAGCTGGATGGTGTAGGATTTCATCAAGCCACTCAGGACGGTGCACCATTCAAGACTGAAGCATTTCTTATTTCTGGAATTTTCTATTTAATATTTTTGGGACATGATTGACCAAAGAATGTGGCCAGACTACAGAAAAGCAAAACTATGGATAGAGGGATGCCACTAGGACCAAGGCAAGGTAGAGGGAGCCAGTTGGGTCTCCCTCATCACTCTGCTTTGACTGCATCCTTGGAATCCTTGACCTTGGCTCAAGTCCTCTTTCTTGGCATGTTTACACTCGCGTGCCGGCCCTTCACTGAGTCCCTAGTGTGTCTGCATTCCTTTTGCTTATGCTTTTGATTTTCATCCCCAACTAGGTGTCTATTTATCCAGGGAGAAATCTTCTATAACAAAGAGATCACAAAGCTCCTGGCAAGCTAGCTCAAAGGAAAAAACAAAAAGCTCCCCAAAAGTAACCAGCATTTGCACGTCACCTTCTAGACTTCAAATTTTTCTTGCATAGCATCTCACTTAATTTTTCCAGTGATTCTCACAGACAAATATACATCATTCCCATTTGAGTGATGAACAAACAGAGGCCCAGTGAATTTAAATGATTTACCTATCATTGCAAGGCCAGGAAGGGATAGGGCTGAAACCAGTACACAAAGATATTATCATTACAGATGCCTATTTTTTTTTTACTTAATTGAGATGAAAAGTAACATCACACTGTGAGTGCAAAAAGCTTTGCTGTAGCTACATTCATGAAATAATCTCAATAATTTAGTTGACTTTTTAATGAGATGGGTGCACTAGCAAAGCTCATTCAAATCTAACATAAGAAACATACTGTATTTAAGTCAGAAGTAATAATATTCACCCAGCACTCTGGGGCTGTCAGCCAACAGCAAGCTGTAGCTAGAACATCAGGTTTCCCATTTGACGTTACTATCTGGTTTTTGTGCTCTTTCTTGCTGACTCCAGATAGGGCTCAGATTCTTCTCAGTATGGTGTCCAGATATCCCATCTCCACCTCCATCTTCATTCAGGTAGCAAAATGGAGCTGGCATGGATGTGTAAGTCACTAGGGATCTGGTGACCAACTTTGCACATCTACTTCATGATGGTCACACCGTCCTGGAGGAGACACAGAGTGTCTAGGAAGCCGTCCTCAGGAGAGGGTGGTAAAAGCAGAGGATGACAGTCTGCATGTATTTAAAACGCTAGAGGACTCTCCCTTCTACATCAACAAGGATTGGCTGGAAGATATTAAAAAGGACCAGGTTGTGCACAATAAAGACCTCTCTGGAACCAGGGGCATTTTCACAGACGGGATGGCTTTATTAGGTGTCTTTTGCTTTGGCTGACATTGGAGCTGATGGCACAGTCTATAAATTGGGTAAACTCTAATGACTGTGAGGTAAACAGTAAAAGTTTAAGTTAAATGTAGAACTGAGATAAACTCTGATGATTAAAAAGTATGGCGAATGTTTAAATTTTCCTTAAAACATTACTTACAGTAAAAGGCACATTGCCAACAGCCCCATCAAAACCCGGCCCCTCACTTCGAACATTTATTCTACCATTCTTGCTGCTTTCTGAGGCAGTTCTGGGAGTCCTGTTTTGTGAATATCTTCAGTGCTCTGTTATGGCTGGTCCAGTGCCTGAATTGATTCAAAACATTTTGCTTTCATAGTTATTCTGATTTTGGGGAAGAGCCAGAAGTCACATGGTGCCAGGTCTGGTGAATAAAGTGGATGAAGACACACGCATCTTATCATGGACCTGCCTCTCTCACCAGCAGCAGGTGCTGTGGTTTTGATCATGTTTTGTAAGACACTCATGGAAGAGGACGTCTAGAAATGCTTCAAAGAGTGACAAGACATGCCGAGATGAGTGTATTTGAAGCGCACGGGAGTATTCTGAGGAGAATTAATGACAGTGTGTCTTTTACTGTAATAAATGCTTTTTAGTGATCTCAGTATTCACTGTGCATTTTGATCATGCCCTGTATTTCAGGCACAGTGGTGAACTGTGGGGAATCAATATATTTTTGTCATATGTAGAAGGCTGCCATTTAAATTGTCCTCAAGAAGTGTGTTTTTTCTTACATCTTTAGATTATATTGGAATTATGCAAACTTGCATTTTATAGGAAATAAAATGGTTTAGGATGAGCAATTATATAGAGTTTAACATAATCTGCAGGAGGTGAAGGATAGAACTCTGATTCTCTAGACTTACGTTAGGGAAGAGAGGCACCCCAGATGTGGTGAGGAGAGTGCATAGGAATGGGGTACAGAGGATAGCAGCAGGGTGATGGTGGGTGCGAATGGCCAAGAAAGAGACCTTCACAGCTCCCTGTGGTGTCTGTTTTGTGCTTCTGTAACAGAAGGCTTGAGGCTAGGTCACTAATACAGAATAGAGGCTTCTTTCTTCCAGTCCTGGAGGCTGAAAGTTACAAGTTAAGGCCTCGCTTCTTGTAAGGGTCTTTGTACTGTGTATTCCTTTTTCAAAAGGCAAAAGGATGAGAGAGAACTTGCTTTTATGAAAGGCATTAGTCCACTCATGAGGGTGGACCTCTCATGACCCAAACACTTTCCAGTTGGCCTGTTTCCCAAAACTGCTCCAGTGGGTGTTAAGTTGCCAGCACATGCTTTTTGCAGGATCCATTTAAACCATAGCACTCCTTCCCCCTAGATCAGGCCAAAGAACATGCTCTTTACAGTGCAGGAGAACAGGAACGCTCATGAACCCAGAAGGAGATAGACATGACTAGGATACAGCAGATCGGTAATTCTGATGTGTTTAAAGAACCTCGTTACTAAAATTCCACCGAAGTCAAATTAGATTTTAGAAAGGAATGGGATAAAATTCATTCCATAAGTGTCTTTTCTAAATAAATTGATGCTGCAAAAGAGAAACAAATCCGCAAACAAAATCACTAACGACTTTAAGAGAATAAGCTGTTTGGGAGACACCAGGCATTTGCAAAGCTACCAGAGATTCATTGACCTAGTTGTCGAATCCTGGCCAAATGCATCTGTTAAAATGTGTTTTTAGGTAAGTACATTAGCTCTGGTTTTATATTGTTGGCAACATGTGAAGGTCCAGAGCTGCAAATATTTAATGCTGTTCTATAATTAGCCCTTCATTAGTTGGGGTCAGCCTCCTTCCCTTGGCACAGAGGCAGGTGTTGGGGTTTTGGATCTCTTCTAATTCTGTGACACTGAACACGTTGCTTAATTTTCTGTCCTTTCTCGAACAGGGTTGAATCTCCCACCCACCACCTTGCAGATGGGTTGTGAAGCAGGGTTTATTATTATATAAGTGGGATCACATGAAGTTTATAGTAAAACAAATCTCCATTTAAAGTAAAATGAAATTGAAAATGAATACTGAAAGATTCATCAGGAGCATTTCCAAACAGAAAATTAAGAATCCTTTCTGGAATTCTGAGTGGCAGTGTTTTGGACATAGGATTTGGAGACAGGCACAACCTGACTTTAAGTGTCTGCTCCATCCTTACTGTATAAAAAAATAAATGGGGACATGAGCCAGGAATGCCTGTAATCCCAGCATCCTGGGAGGCAGAAGCAGGAGAATCACAAGTTTGAAACCAACCTGGGCACCTTAGTGATTTAGCAAGACTCTGTCTCAAATAAAAAAAAAAAAATAAAAAAGGCTGGGGATGTATCTCAGTATGAAGGCCCTGAGTTAAATATTATTAAAAGAAAAAAAATGGGGACATGGAAATAGTGTGGTGTGGCACTGCTGCCTAGCAAGCACTTCATAAATAAAACATTCCTAATTTATCACAATAAATACCTCTCCCGACTGTGTACTGAGTAACTTTGGAGGAGCTATTATCCCTTCATAGAGCACATATTTCCTTGATGATGATTGAATACCTAGTATGCGTGTGACAAAATTGTTTCCTGAAATGGGAATTTGTGTGCACCCTCCATCTCTGAGTTAGCGTTTCAAGAATCCTGATCGACTGCTTGCATATCCTCGGTTCTGCAAAACAGGAAGCAGAAATCTAACACTTCTTCCTTTTTTTTTTAAAGGGTCACAGGCTTAGTGTACACTGGGGAGGGAGGAAATGAGGTCCTTTTAATGAGTCATGTTCCTTGACCTTGAAAAATGCTCCTTCCTGGTTAGGGCATTGGGGTGAAGTTATCTTCCCTGTACCATGGGGCCAGCCAGACCTAGGAAGCCCAGACTGCATGGCTCTGGTCAGACGCCTGGTCCCTAACCTTCTCCTTGATTCTCAGTTTTGGGGCTTTGAAAGAGACAGGCTTTGAAATGTCTGATGGGAAAGAGGACGCCCAAGGACCTGTGCCTGATCCCGCTGTTGGAGATGGGGGAGGGAAGAGCACCAATAACTTTTGAAACTAACGTTCCTGCTGGCATGGACTCTAAGAACCCAATTTAAACTGAACAAAGGAAAAGAAAGAAATGTGACATTTCTGGCAGACTTATGTCTGTACATTAAGAGTCAGACTCACTACAGTTTTAAAGCATTGGGGAATCTGTGGATAATTAATCCTATTGTCTGAAAGCTTATCACCTGTTTGGAAGCTGCAGGAAGTTATAAATCGTTTACGTGGATAACCATCTTTCACAACACTACAAGATTCAGGGCTGTACAATGGTGAAAGTTTTCAGTCATGAGAGATAGACAGCTGAATTTTATAGAAGGCAGACGGCCCGGAAGACAGACAAAGGACTCTCTTTAGGGAGACGTTAAAGTGCACCCTGCCCCAATCTTTGCATGCCAGCACTATTTAATATGTAATTGCAATAGTTGTAAACTCACAAAACTTTTGTAGACCCTGAATTTGTTTTGAAAATATGCCTGCTTGATAATGAAGAAGTCTGGAACCTAGTGGACCGCGAGGGAACTGTATAGTTAATTATTTCCATAAAAGCACTCAGACTGTCTTCTCCATGGAGTTTGAGAGCTCTCAAAGGCCAACCCTCCCCTCCTGGCATTCCCGGCTCTCTACCTTTTTCCATTTGACAGCACAGAAACTGAGGCCCACGTGGAATCTGGATTTAGTGAGGCTCAAGGTGTCACTTTGAGGGTTGAGTCTTGGTAGGAGGCCCCTCTGCCTCTGCAGGCTCGGCGCCGGCTCTCTCTTGCTTATACAAACCGAGCTTGGTAATGAGAAGCTTTGTCTCTTTTCCTGCAATGCACAGATCCATCATCTTAAATCATTTTACCCCTCACATTGCTTTCTTGTTTGCCAGCCTTTACTGATTAGTTCATGAAAACAAAACAAAACCAAACATCGAGGTTTGGCTTTCAAGGCTTTCTGCGATTCCACCCAAGTCTCCTAGGTCATTGTTCTGTGCTCTCTGTGAAGCACTGTTTTCTGCCAGGGCGGTTTCCTGCCTACGCCCTCCGCTCTGCTCTTCTGTGATTTGCTGATGTTCCTTTCTTTTCCAGGAATGCCTCCTGCCAGTCCTTATCCATCCCCAAGGCCAAATTTTACACTATTCCCTTGAAGAGTCTAGGGAGGGTTGTACAACCAGATGAACCCAAGTTTTGGAACTTCCCTTATTACTGTGGTTCTGAAAGGCTGCGGATGGGTCACTGACCCTCTGGAGCTCTGCCTTTTGGCACCTTAGCCTGGCTCTGAAGGATAAATGGGCTGTAATGTAAAAGACTTAGCACACACAGTTCCTTGTACACAGTAGATATCTGGGAAGGTGATTAATTATTCTTATTCTTAGTTTTCTTTAACTTCTTACTTGCTTTGAACTTCTCTTCCATTATGTCTACCAATATCTAATTTTACATGCTATGATATTAGACTGCATGTTTTATTTTCTCCACTCAGTTGACAGCTCCTTGAAAGTAGGACCCTTTTTCTCCTGGAGCCTCTCTTTCACATTTTCTTCTGCACATAGGTCCTTACACTGTAGGCCACGGCTGATTTTTAAGAATGAAATGACTGCCAAAAACTTACTTCACTGTCAATTTTCTCTTCATTAGACAAGTTGAAAATAGTATTCAAAAGTTGATTTTTTTTTTTTTTTTAGATGTGAGAATTCCAGTTGTTGGGCTTTTGGCCCTTAAAAATAGGGGACAATAATCTGTGAAGAGCTTGATGAAAACTAGTATATTTCAATTAAGTCTTTGAAAAATTTGAATTTTTTAGGGACATAAAGTCTCAACTCAATGGACCAACTAAGTCACATGGTTCTCCAGGAGGGATCCAAGATCTGCATGTTGCTCTTTGGGAGGAAAAATGATTTCCTAGTCAGACAAGTTTGGAAAACACCAGAATCTAATCACTTATGGGGTACAAGCGGACATGTTAACCAGCTGAATATGTGCAAGGTCCCACTGCAAAGGAACCAGCATCAATAGCTAATTTTAGCTGGCATTTATTAAGCTCGCATTAGATGCTGGGCACTTTGATAGTGGCCCTTTATGTGGATTTCTAATGTAGTCCTCAGGATGCCCCTAGGAGATGGATATGCTTGCTCCCTCATCTGACAGACAGAGAAGATGCTCGACTCGGTCCATGCTCACAAGGCAGTTAAGGGTGGAGTTGCCACTGGAAGTCACATTTGTGAACTCAGAGCCCAGCCTCTGGTCCACTGTGGTGCCAGCTTCCCACATTCCCCAAATTGCTTGAGCAAGAAATACTCAGGGTAACTTTTTTCATCAACAACCTACCCAAACCCAGGTGCCCTGGAACTCACTTTGGGAAGCAGAACCTTGCTACCCTAAAGCCACTTGGTTTACAAGGGTAGCTGTGGTCCTGCACCTCTGTGCCCTCACATGTCAGCCTCTGCTGGGTGTCCCTGTCACTTCTTGGCTCTCATGGTAACTGGCTCATTCTCCAAGATCTTGTTCAAATACAACTCTGTGGGAAGCTTTCTTTGCCTCCAGCAGGCTGACAGGCAAGGCAATTTTTGGTGCTGTATGGGGCTTTCTGCACCACTGATAAATGTCTGACTTTTCTTCGTCAAACCATGTTCAAAGAGCCTGGCTGTAGAGTCTGGCACCAAGTGGACCCTCTGTTAAAGCTTATGCAATTGGGACAGTGTCCCTTTCCTATTCCTTGGGCACAGATCTCTGAGCCTGGCTTGTCAGAGTCCATCCACAGATTTGGGGCCACAGCCTGGTGCACGCTCAAAGACAGCCAGACAGAAGGCTACCACCCCCAGCAGCCTTGTAGTTAACACCCTCCTCGCCTGGCCCTTGCAGAGGAGGCTTTTTGTGCGGCCTCTTTGCAGCCAGGATGCATACTGAAGTCACAGCGGGCCTCCCTCCTTAGCCCCCTTTTGGAGACAACCCTGACCTGTCCTTTCCAGGGTGCAGTCCAGGTTCATTACAAAGCCCCCCAGTGACTGCTTGGAGTGAGTCAGCTGGCTTGGGGCGCTGTTAACAACCCGAATCGCCCTTTTGTTTTTGTCCTTCTCAGGGCCTTCTGGGGCTCTTGGGTGGGGCCTGGTGCGTTTGGTTTTCAGCGATGCCGCCAGCCTCCATGGGAGCTCATGATGGGAAGCCACGTCATGCCACACTGCGCATTTCTAGGCCACACCCATCCCCAGGGTACACTCCGGCGCCATACAACTGCTGGCCATCCCTACTGTCCCACCGCCTGCGATGAAGTCATGGGTGGGGCCCAGAGACCCCTTTCTGGATAGGGTGGGGGCTTCCTCTACTGGCTTGGGGTGGGCCGAAAAGATGGGGAAGGAGGTGATGGCAGTAGTCTTTCCTGTCCACCCCTCTGCGCCCTCTCATAATGTTCTGTGGGCTGGCATGGCTGGAAGCAGAGGAGGACGGAGAGGGACTGAGGAGACTTGGCAAGGAGAAGGACCATGGATTAGCACTGTCACTACCCCAGCAGCAATTAGATGGAGAGAGACAAGTCAGCCGTGCAATGAGCTGATAGACCTGCGGTCTAGTTTTCTTTCCAAGAATGTCCATCTTTGGACCTTAATTCTTGAGACCACGAGACAGAGGAAGCCACCACATAAGCCACCACCTTATGTAACCAGAAGAAGAAAATATTCCAGAAACAGAGCAACAGCTGGTACAGCGTGGAGGTAGAGAGTTTCTGAGGCTGCGAGCAGCATCTCCAGGCAGCGTCTTGCATTCTTCCCCAGTCTAATGGCTTGATTGCAAATGTTTCTCTACCAGTCCATTTTGCAGACTAATGTCCCGGAGAACTCGAGCTCAATCAAACCCACAGAGATGTTTAACCTTTGCCCGTGAGCACATATGTGTGCGTGCAGGAATGAATGTGGGCTCTGTTAAAGCTCTTAGCCTGCAGGAAGGATTTGCGGATCTCAGTGGATATCTGGGTTTTTTTGCACCTGGAAGTTTGCCTTGGGAAGATGGGAACACTGATAACAGAGAACTTCTCAGGGAAAGAGAAGTGTCGCACTGCACACTTATGCTCCCCACCTCAAACCGCAAGATGCTTCTCATATGACTAATGCCTAGGAAAACAAGGACTTGTCTTAGAATTCTCTGCTGTCCTACCTATGTACGAGGTACAGTTGACAAGGCACAGCCACGCTCCTGAGATAACATTATCTGCCAATTGTGACTTGCATTAAGGAATGCTGGGTTTAATTTTTTCCTCTAAGGACGTGTAACGTTTCCTGTGTGTAACTTCCCATATCATTATAAGGAAAAGTCAAATGATTTATTTAACATTACAAAAATATTCTGCAAAACGAGCTTCCAGTAAACCATAGCGACCATGATTAAGAGGAGTTTTAGAATGTTATTAAAATCTGTGAGGAAGTTGTTTAAGTGAGAAGAATCGTGACTCCCGAAGTCGAGTTGCATGTAATGAAATAAGAAAACACAGCTACTCTGACCTTGACAACCAGCAACCCTATCAGCAGCACCCTGATCAAAGCTGGGTTCATCATACTGGAGATTTTGAGGGTTTCCTGCACGTTCTAAGAGAAAAGGCTTTTTCCAAACAGTCAAAGATATTCCACAGAGCCTCATGCGTCAAGCAGAATAGAAAGTAAGAGAAAACATTGCTGCTGAGGATTTCTAGCCACTGATTTATCATTTGTTGACATTCTTTCTGCAAGTTCCCCCATTTCTTTACAAGTAACTGTATTAAGTTCTTTTGGTACATGTTTTGACAAAATCCAAGCAGGAGAGAAAAAAAGAGAAAAACTAGCGAAAATAGTAAATAGTGGCTTACCTTTTCTGGGCATTGCTGGTATCAAACTTTTCTCCAGAACATGAGGCTTTCTTTCTTTGGTTGTCCCATGAATTTAGAAACCATTAAAATGTTTAAAGCCAAAATAGGATTATTGTTCAAAGCTGCTCCAGGACAATGCAAGAAAACAACTTGGTGAAAAATGAAGTGCTCGCCTGAACACGAGAATGCGTTTGAAGCTTGGAGCTCATGCTGTTGTACGAAGTTTTGCAACTGTCTTTCTCAGTTTAGACAGCCTCCCACTCCTTCTTCCAGGCACTTGCCAACTTCCATAATTTAAAGCAACTGTGATCCTTCCCATAATACTCACATTTCAAAGAGCTTAGCATATACACTCGTTAAGAATGGCAGTGTCCTGCAAACCTCAGACAGAGGCATATGCAAAGCAAGTGTCTCGGGTCTCTAAATAGCTTTTTTCTCTCTCATCCACTGCTGGTTGCACCGTGTTACTTGGAGTTCCTTTTGCTTTTTAAAGTGATACATGGAGACTAAGTGGCATCATCTTGCTGGGAGCAAGAAGAGCACTTAGGGAAGTTTATGCCTCAACTTATAGAGCAGCCGTACTAATGATATTGTCTTTACGGATTGCTTTTGCAAAACAGAACTATTTCTTTGAATGGCCCTCATTGACTGGTATGATAACTTGAAATAATTGTACATTTTTTTATGAAATGGGGAAGTATGTAAAGTGATGTTATTTGCACTGTGGTCTTATTTAAACTTCATTCCATCTGTGAATCATAAATTCTAGGAAGCCCACTTATTTTTCAAATTTTGCCTATGTAGTTGAATAAAACCTCTGACATTTTAGTCTGCAATCAGCATACATTTTTTGACATTTTAGTTTATAAGTATTATAAATTTTACTATTTTCATCCCTTTTTCAACTGCTATTTTCTCTCTCTCTCTCTCTCTCTCTCTCACACACACACATACACACACTCACACACAAATTTGTGAATTATAGCCAATTTAAAATGCTGTTAACTGAAAATGGAAATTTAAAAAATAATTTATGGTTTTTCTCCAAATAGGACTTGCTCAGTACCTAATAGACAGAGATGCTTAATAAATACTGAATGAATGAAATATAGTTTATTTCAGACAAATCAAAAGTTTTTAGCAATTTAAATCATCATGTACATTCCCATCAGGAATAGTTAATGTCAAACCTTGCATAAAAGTAAACACAGAATAGTGCATGCCTTTGCTAGACTTAATGAATAGCTATATAATGCAATCCTTCAAGTAACTAGAAAACATTAATTAAATAGATCATTCAATAGAGAATAGAAATATTGGCATAGGCAAAAGCCATTAAGTATGGTCACTGTGCAGAATTATGCAAACACATTTCAAGACAAAAACCTCATTATTTCAAAAGCTATAGAATTTTTGGTCACCTAAAAAGATTATTATGCAATGGATAGGGACAATATCTTTGAATAAAATAGTGGAAAGAGAGGAAATATTTAACCCTATGGGGAAGTTTTCAGGCTTTAGTTTTTTTTTTTTTTTTCAGTGAGTGCAGATAAAAAGATGAAGTCTACCCTTGCTCTGGCTTCTCCCAAGGGAATTCTTCAGGCATAAATGAAGGTGGTGTCATAGCTCTGGGTTGGATCCTGGATCTGCCTCATTCCAGTGCGTGACTTTAGACATATTCTTTCATTTTTTAAACTCTAATTTCCTTAATGTGAACTGCATCATATATAACATATATAATGAATATATAATATGAGATGCAACTATTTCAAACTAACCTATGTGCATCTATCTTTCTATTATCTGTGTATCTATCTACCATTTATCTATATATCTCTATCGCAGTGTTTGTATTTAACAACTATTTTAAGGCATTGTAGTATGTAGTAGGTACTCAGCAAGATCTATTTATGGGTCACCAAGATTGGGAGGATGTTTATTACAGTAACTAACAAAACCTTTTCCTGACTGATACCAAAATTGGTGGCCTATAGGTGGTGATGCTCTAACAAGGACTCAGTTGTACTGGTCCAATAGTCAGAGGGTTAATGTCAAAGGAACTAATAACAGTGATTGGGAAGGTAAAGTTCCAAGTTTTACTGTGGCAAAAGATCAGGTGATATCAACAGTTACGATAGCTTGGAAGGTACTCCATGGGCTTTGGCTACTCTTGGCCACATTGGTCGTGGTGTTTCTAGAATGAGATGAGCCCAAGTAAGAAATGGCTAAAATTTAAACACGAATAAAAAGAATAAGGAAATGGGGGCATACATTTGGAAACCTGTAGTAGCCAATCAATTTCTTGAGGGGCTAAAAATCTTATCCTGATAAAACTGTAGCATTGAAAATTTTAAGTGTATATGCCAAATGTCTCTGGAGACTGGGAAGACCTTCCCAGCTAGCAGGAGGCGAGCTGCAGGCCCATGTGGAGGCAGGTGGCCCAGCTCCTCCACTCATGGTGGCCAAGGAGGAGCTGGTCGGGGGGAGGGCTTAGAAGGAAGAGCTGATGGCTGCAGCACAGAAGGCCCCTAAGACTCCCAAAGGCTGAGCCAAGGCCATAGAAGGAGCACATGCCAGCCACAAGAGAGTGACCTTCGGTATCTGCCAGGCCACACTCTGTCTCAGTGACTGCTGTGTTTCCCATTCTTCCCTTTTCTGACTGGGAATTTTTGTGGTAGTTATCTTATTGCTGTTACACCATTTGGATAATGTGTGTGTGTGTGTGTGTGTGTGTGTGTGTGTGTGTGTGTGTGTATACATGTGAAAGAAAGTGACAGATGGAGAGGGAGAGGGAGAGGGAGAGGGAGAGGAGAGAGAGAGAGAGAGAGAGAGAGAGAGAGAGAGAGAGAGAGAGAGAGAACGTACCTGTTTTATTCATAAACCACTTCCATTTTAGTTCATAATGGATCTAGAACAGGTCACTGCCAGACACACACAGAGGACTTCTCAGCTGGAAAGGCCTAACCTTCCAGCTGAGTGCAGGGGTCGTATGGAATGTGAGGCTGATTCCTTTGGGGGACATGTAGACATTCTCTGCATTTGGAAGGAGGGAAGGACGTAGACACTTGGTGGCCAGAGAATAAACTATGGCAGATCCTTTCTGTGCGTACTGATATCTACATGTTCTTCTACTGTGTTTCCTAGTCCTTCTTGCAGGGAGGCTGAACATGAGGCTACTTTCTGGCCAGCGGGATGTGAGCAAAAGTAATGGGGGCTATTTCTGGGCCAAAGTTACGAAGAACCCTTCGGCTGCTCCTCATTTCTTCTCTGTCCTCTGCCCATGAGTTTGGGCAGACTCAGAAGAGAGATAGAAGGAACCTCAAGCCTTGAGCCCCTCGTAGCAGACTGCTGCCCTGGAGAGTGGCCTGATCTACACCAGATGTAAGCAAGCCTAACTTATGTTCCTTCACTGAGTTTGGGGTACATTCGTAAGGGTTAGATAGTACAAATGCTATTCCTAATACAGCTACCTTGAAAGTGTTTGGATTTTATATATATATTCCACCCAAAAATGTTTACATGCTTTTTAAGGAAAGAAAAACTTAGATAAATAAATACTTTAGTACTACATTTATTGGGACAGCATGATATTAATCTGGTGTTATCTTGGCTTCTACAATTACAAGGGTGTTCAAAGTGGTGGCCATTAGCTTCCAGACATTTATTAGTCTGATGAATTGCTGCTTGGATAAACTTGATCATTGTGATTGCCACACACGCATTTTTACTCTCTAAGGATCAGCAGGGCAGTCCTTTTGAGTCCCCTACACGAGGATGACACCTCTGCTGAAAAAAGCATCATACTACTTTTCTCTTTCTGAAATATGTATATGTTTTTTTTGGTGGACTCTCTGTATGAATCTGTTTTTTATATATAAATGCATTATGAGTGTAGGGCGTGCAGAACGGCACCCAACACAATCATACATGCAAAAACTGAGAGAATTAAAAAAAACACGTAATTGAGGAGTGAGTGATATACAAAAAGCTGTAAATATTTAATACATACAGCTTGAAGTTTGGTGGTAAGTCCATACCCATAAAATCACCACCACATTAGGCCATAAAAATAGCCATCTCTAAAACCTCCACTTACCCTCGTTATTATTCATATGTGAGAAGAACACACAAGATCTAAACAATTAGCAAATTTTTAAGTAGTAAGTGTGCATTTTTAACTATAGGTGCCATGGTATGTAAACCTCTAGGATTCGTTCAACTTTTAAAACCGAAACTTTATACTCTTTGGTAGCTATTTTTATATTAAACATAAATTTCCATTTGCTTGCTCTTGCAAAGTTCATATAGTACTGAATACTTGTATAAATTTAAAGTTTATAAATTGTTTAATAATGGGCCAAATAAATGGAAAACCATGGAAAGAATAGTGAAGAAATATATCCTGAAAGCAAAGCTTTCTCCCTTCTTAAAAATATATACAAGCATTGAGAAAATCATTCCATGAGTTGTTGTCATATTTCTTAAGCAACCTTCCAAGCAAAAGATAGAATTTATAAAAGTCAAGTTACAAGTTTAGTAGTCTCCTTAGCTTTTAACTTTACTCACCCAAACATATGTTTTACCAGGTCCTGATGTTGATTTTTACAGTGTAAATAGAAAAAAATGTTCCATTAATGCCAATTGATTTAATTTGCAAGCATTGCCCTCTGGTCAGGCTATGTGTTTTTCTTACTGGTTCGAACTACATTAAACAGAGGTACAGAAGCTTCGAGTTCATGCATTTTTGCTTTTACCTTGCAGGGAGGTATTTGGAGTTACTAGAAATATAGCTCTTTCATTACACGGGCTCTTTAAAAGTGCTCTGATCTTTCCCCCAGTGTCATTTTAAAGCAATAGGGGCAATAAGTACAATCATTCACTGAGCCTAACTATGTACCAGGCACTGTTTTGCTTGTATTATAAATGTGTTTTTTTGCTTCATCCTTTCAATATTGTAGTCCAGTGAAGAAAATAATAGCATCATCCTCATTTTACAGACAAAGAGTGGGAAGAACAGAGAGGTAAAGTGACCAGGTCATGGTCACAAAGCCACTGGAAGCCAATCTAGGATTTGAACCTAGGTTGTCTGGTTCCAGCAACACAGTGCTAGTGAAAACATATTCTCCACAAAGAGAATATGCTTAAACAATGTGTTTTCCTCAGTGTCGATTGCTGAGATTGCTATCTGAGATGAGTACAGATTACTCTGAAAGCCATTTTAAGCTAACCATAGCTAGTTGTTATTCTTGGAAAGCAAACATGTTCCTATGTGAATGCAATTACGAAGTTTGAACATTTTTTATATATTCAATTTTGTGCTCTTCTGGTTAACTTTATTTCTTCTTCTTAGCTTGCACACAGCAGCCAAGTTTCAAATTATATCTCAAAATCCAGGTGGCTTTTCCTAGATTTTATCAAAAAGCCTTTCCTGGGTTCTATCAATCATATGAACGCATCAAGAAAGTGGTCCAAGGAGAAACACGCCTTGTCGGCAATCATCTGTCTCTCAGAAGACATCACTACAGCTTGCAAAGTAAGGAGTAACAGGCTTGATCTTTATTCAGAGTCAGGGGAAAGGCCAGTTCCCTTCAGGACGGGGTCACAGAAGCTGGTGACCTTCCTCTACTGCCTTCTTGTCACTGTTGAGTATTGAAGACATGGAAGGGGCAGATGTCGTTTCTTCAAGCCTGCAGTTCCTGAGTCATCCTTTATGGCTTCTGGCCATGGTGAGTGCTGTAATTTGGACCTCAAAGGTCCCCAGAGGCCCATGAGTTAAACGTTTCTTTCCCAAAGTGGAACTTTTGGACGGTGGTGGAACCTTTATGGGGTGAGATTAGTGTGAAGTCTGTAGGTCACTGGGGACATACCGACTCCACAAGAAATTCTGGGACCTCAGACCCTTCCTCTTTCTCCTTGCTTCCTGGCCATGAAATGAACAACGTTGCCCTGGTCACACGTCCTACCATCACATGCTTAGTCTCACTGCAGTCCCAACACCCCTGTCCCAAATGGGGCTCACTACAGGCCAGAAACTCCATAATTGTGAGCTGAAATAGTGTTTTGTCTTTATAAGTTTTTTTTCTCAGGTATGTTGCTACAGGAATGGAAAACTGACTCATACAGTAGGTAAATACGAAGGTGCATTTTAAATTTCTTACTGATTTAGGGTAGCAGATGAGATTACTGTAGACAGACAAAACTAGGAAAAGAGTTTAGAAAAGAGTTTAGTAGTAGGCTAGGATTGTGGGTTTGGAAGAAGACTGGAAAGTGTTCTAATTCACTGTCTCTACTTCTGATTATCTGCACAGCCTGGGAAAATGGCTAGATCATTTCCACTCAACTCCCCCAGGGCACGGGGCTCAGAGCTTGGAAGGCATAAACTAATCCTCTGAGCAATGGTGAGTACTTGTGCTTTATTTTCCACATGTAAGAGACTTTCAAATATTCAAAAGCAACTCATAACCTCCTCCCCATTCCACCAGTTTCCTCTTCCTCTTCCTTTCTTTGAGTTCAATGATTTTGGCTTTTTCAGCTGCTATTTATGCAACTGCTTTTGATTAGGTCACCAATGTGGTAAGCTGCCTCCTGTGATCCAATGTTCAGTCAGTGGCAAAATGACTCCTGAGCAGTGGAGTAAGGTGACCAAGGAATCAATAGACTGAATTAGTCTGGACTCTATCAACTTGAGAAGTCATGTTGCTACTTTTGGCCTTTGCATGTGACAAGGTATGCATTATGACATTAGAGACATTTGCCTTGCCTAGGGTCTCTCTTTAGGACCCTGTTTTGTGAGTTGATTATTCACCACTGAGGACTGACAGAACCAATCCAATCTTTCTTGGAACATGATGCTTTTCTAATGTCTTTTGACTCTTACTTTCTGGAAATTGCATTCCCTATTTAATATCCCTGAACCAAAACTATTTTCCTTCAAATCTACTCTTCTTGAGTTGCCTCGTTTTTGTCATTAATAGCACCATCCTCTCAAATGCTTAGGATTTTTAAACACATGTCATCAGTTTTGTTTTCTTTCTTTATCCTAAGCATTTCATCATAATATCTTGAAATTCTTTTACTATATCTCTAAAATTAGCATCCTCAGGCAATTTTATTGTTATGCCAGTGATTTCCTGGAGTATTACCTGTGGAATTAGGACTTTGAAATTTCCTATGGAAATGACTGTATGGTAAAATAAGTTTGGATGACAGTAATTATATATAGGAATTTCCAAGAAGAGGAAATCAATTAAATATCTCTATGTTTATATTCTCCCAATTTTAGTTAGTCTTTGTAAATCCTTGGGCTCTCTGGACTGTTCTGCTGATCTTAACCATGCTTGGCTAGGTAGTTCTTTAATTGTTAGTGGAGCTGATGCATATGTCTAGCAGTCTTCTGGCTGTTGGTGGATCTATGATGTTGCTGGTAGGGGAAACTGGCTCTGCTCCCTGTGTCTCATTCTCCAGCAGGACACTCTGGACATGTCCTTAGACAATTATAAGAGTCCAAGAGCAGAGGCAGAAATATGCAAATGCCTCTTCAAGTCTTTGCTTGTATCAAGTTTCCTGTTGACTGATTGGCATAAGCAAGGCTAATGCCCAAGGCTAGAGCCAATGTGAAACAGACATGATGTCTTTGTCTGTACTCTGTTGCTACAGTGAAATATCTAAGACCGGATACTTATACAGTAAGAGGGTTGTTTGGCTAGTGATTCTGGTGGCTAGTGGGTCCAAAGAGTGTGGTATCAATGTGCTGCTGAGGGCTTCCTGGCTGTATCTCATTCTCATTTCCTGGAAGCAAATAGGGCACAGGTGCATGCAAAAGGGGGCCAAGTATGTGGGCTGGGATCACTTTGTGACAATTCACTCTCATGAGAACTAGCTCGGGTTCTATGAGAACTCCATAAATCTCTTGCAAGAGTAATATCTTCAGTGACCTTGCTATTGTCCTGTATGTCTTATCTCTTAAAGGTTGTATTACCTGGACATCACCCAGCTTCCACTATATGAACTTTTGGAAGACACACTTATACCACAAGACCCAGACATAGGAAGGGACAAGAAATTGGTACCATAGATACATTCAGTCTTCTGCTAAGGGATAACGTGTGCCATGTTTTCCAAAGAAACATTTGATTCAAAGAATGATTATTTTGAAAGCACATTTGTAAGAATTATATTCAAGAGGAGATAAAGGCTTGTCCCTTTGTTCATATGTCATCTTCAACTCAGAAAAAAAGAGATAATAATATTGGTTCTCTTTTTAAAAAAACTCCCTTACACTTCCTAGTTTCCCTCTAAACAGAGAAAGAGTTACAGCTCCTCTTGGTCTGAGACTGAAACTCATCAGCCATATTTCACTAGTGAATTCTCTCCCTCTTTTCTGGTAAGCAAGGGAATTATTTATCTTCTGAGGGTGGTAAATGGTTTTGTCTAACTTCCTTCTTTGTAGGTTAAGTGGTTTTTTGGCTTTCTTGTTCTGTGTAGGTATAGGAAAATTATCACTTCAAAGGGTGGTCCATCATTCTTTTACTCTATGATAGATTTTTGGCCTATATAATTGATTAAGAAACTAGGTTTAGTAATGGCTTTACAGGTTGGGGATGGGAATCTGGGAGTAGCAATGTTTACTTCTACTTTGAAGCATCAGATATTTTCAGAGATCAGTTTCTCTTCTCCCAAGCCCAAGAGTGGTATTAATGGGCACTCTCTCGGCTGTTAATAAAAGCACAAGTTTATTCCTCACTTGGCTGCTAACCCTTGATTACATAGCTTTTTTGGCAGGGAAGAGCATTATTTTCAAGGACACTCAATTCTTTCAAGATGCAGTCGTTTATCTCACTCATAGGGCACTTACCACTGTCTGCTTTATGTCATAGTTCTTCATGTATTCGCCTCTCCCCACACTAAATGTGAATTCCTCAAGGCCCAGAATCATATCTTAAACTTTTTTATATCTTCTTAATATCCAGGGTGTCTCATATAACATCTTGTGTTTATATACCTAGTAAAAAGTTTGCCAAATGAAACAATACAAGGTTAAAACAAATTTGTAAGGTTATATTGTGAAAATATGGTTAGATGTATAAGGCAAATTTGAGGTAGGCATGCATGTTTTCATCCTTTTTCAAACTATCATTAAGTGCTACCAGATATGATGCTTGGAACAAGATGTTAGCATATTGTGAATCCTGACAAGAAGATAGGATACGAGAAATTTAAATGATTACACTAATGGCAATTTATTGCCAGAATGAAAGAGGAAATGGGAAGAAAGTCAAAAAAATGTTTTGCTTGGATTTGGTTTCAGGGATAGATAGAATCCTTGGCTCAACTTTTATTTTGCCTTTATGAACAAACAGACTTGATTATGGAGTGTGATTCTTTCAGTTCACAAAGGATCAAAATAAAATGTTACACAAGCCATGAGAGGATAAATCTTCAAATTTTTTTTCAGAATTAGCCAAAACTTAACATAATATATTTCCATTAATAACAGTGCTCCTTTGAATTTGCATTATATTTTCTGTCATAAGCTTCATTCTTACTAGGCTATACTTGGAAGAAAGCTAATAGTTCAATAGTAAGAAGCATACTTTTTAATGTAATCAAAATTTACAAAAATTCTAGTGTGAAGGTGATGAAGCTTCATTAGGTAAATTCTGCTTTTGGAGATTGACTAATATACACAAATTCAATTTCAAATGTATTGACAAGAAATGTAGATTTATGGGAGGTTTTGTGAACAGATGGAGGTGAAGACTACCTCTCATATTACTATGGTTTAGATATGGTTCAAGAGTCCTCCTAGGGACCATGTGTCAGAGGCTGTATCTCCAGGATGATAGTATTAGCAAGTCATGGGAACTTAAGAGGAGGGGCAGTTGGGATGTCTTTAGGTTACTGGGGACACGCCCTTAAAAAGGACAAGCGTAGTTAATTTGCAAGTCCTTGATAGTTCTCAAGAGGCAATGATAATAAAAAGAGCAAACCTGGTCCCTGCCCCTCTCCTTTCCACCTCCTATGTGATCCTTCTTTCCATGCCAATGTTACCACCTTCTCTTAAGTCCTCACCTGAGTCAGCCTGATGAGGGTACCCTGCCCTTGAATCTCTACTACTGTGAGCCACAAATATTTTAGACACATGTACCAGCTCTCCATGAAGAATGTAATCATTATGTACCACAGATGTATGCTGATAAGAATTTTTTTCATAAGTTAGTTTGTCTCAAGTATTTCGTTATTTTAATGAGAGTCTGACGGACATATACATGCCATAGCAAGATTTAATCATAGGAATCTTATGGACTGATTTTCCTGATTCCCATGCTGAAGCCCCAGCGTTTCAGTGTGATGGTAATTGGAGATAGGATGTGTAGGAGGTAATCAGGTTGTGATGAGGTCATGGTGATGGCCTTCATAAGGGGATTAGCATCTTCACAAGAAGAAATACAAGAGAGCTCGCTTGCCCTTTTTTGTCATGCACGGTCATGGGAGAGGCAGTAACTGCACATTGGAAAGAGAGATCTCACTAGGAAACTGAGTCAGTGGGCACCTTGGCACCTCATGGACTTCTCAGCTTCCAGACCTCTGGGAAATAAGTTTTAGCTGTGTATGAGAACCAGTCTATAATATTTTGTTATGGCAGCCCAAGCAGACTAACAGGATGTTATAAGTAGTTACACCAGAACAGGAGGAGTAGACTAGGGCTTGTCTAGGCACAGTGGAACACATGGACATCTACTCATTAACCTGTCTTTGGTTCTGAGTCCAGGTCTTTCCTCTTTCAGCCTTTACAAATTTCTTAAATGTTCATGTCATCAGGGAAATTAAAATTAAGAGCACTGTGAGGTGATGCTGCACACTTCCTAGCATGGCTAAAGACTGGCAGTGCTGAGCTGGCAAATGTGTAGCAAGAGGAACCTGCGTGCAATACTAGTGGCTAAATGATAAAACTGCAAAAGAGAACTCTTTGCCACTTGCATAGAAAGCTAAATTTACCCTTATCATGTAATCCAGAGATTGTATTCAGTAAATCCAGTCTATTAATGAAAGACTGGATTTACTAAAAGTCAAATTGAAAATATTCATAGCAGTGTGGTTCATGTTAGCAAGAAACTGGAAGTGCAAGTATCCATGGATGAGTGAATAGACAAACAGTTTGCCCTACCTCCATTGCATATCTGTGTGAAGGGTCATTGTTCAGGAACAAATCTGGAAAGAATCTGATTGTTCATTAAAGGGCAAATGAAAACATTGTAATAACCCCCCACAATGGAATAATATTCAGCAAAAAAGGCTGACATCTGCTCTTTGTTACAATGGAGAAACCCAAAACACCAAGAAACCAGATGCAAATGAGAATATTCCATAATGATTCAATTATATGAGCTTCTAGGACAGCCAAAATCCATTGATAGGTATATAGCTGATCAGTGTTGCCTGGAATAGGGGTTGTGAGGGAGACTGACTGCTGGGGGTCCCAGGGAAACTTCTACAATTATGAGGATGATCTAACTTGATCGTGGTGGGGGCTGCAATGGTCAGCAGTTGTCAACTGAGCTCTATATAGAAAATGGCTGAATTTATTGATGTGAATAAAGTTGATTTAGAAAGAAAGACATTCTTGAAAATAATTTCTGAAATCATCTTGAGTAATCTGGCTCCTGCCCTCAGCTTGCATATGCTCTGCAGAACATTGACTGTTGCAATATTCGGCAAAAATTATG